CCACAGGGGTTCAGTAGGGCTCCGCCCGCCGCGCAGGCTAGAGCGTGGCGGGGCGTAGCGGGGGAGGATGGGGCGCGGCGTGGCGAGGCGTGGTGGGGCGTGGCGGGGCGGGGCGTGGCAGGCGCCGCGATGCGAACAGCTGGCGAGCATCAAGTGTTGATGATGGTCATGACGGCCAGGGTAGGCCAGGCCACGGGCAGGCAGGGCCTCGGCGTTGCGGACACGCGGGGGTGCATAGCTGGGGACCTCAAGCAACTCCAAAATTATGGCGTCTGTTGGTTGTTGAAGCCAACATTTTTATTCGTTAGCTGGAGAAATGTATATATAGGGCAAATAAACCACTGATGAAAAAATAATTGCAAGGTTTAGGTCAAGTCTTGCCACAGTCAGTGCCAAAGGCATTTACTATGAAATTCCCATAGTCTAAAAAATAGCAAAACTACAAAAATATATTCCGGTGGTTATATGGTAATTACGATTCCAAATTATACGGATATCTACTACAAACTATGGTGGTTTTCAGAGTGTAATCAATTTCGTTTTCGACGACCTGAACACACGACATCTGCATTTCTTTACAAGAGTGCATGAGTGTTGTTTCGTACTGCCCACGCCTTACCTGACCAGCTTAGTTAGACTTAAAATCACCCATCCATGGCCTATCATACAGAAAAAATAAGCCAACGGTGATATCTACTACTATTCAATCTCAATCACATTTTTATTTTGTTCCTCTGTACACTGTATAAAGTACTTGTTATAAACAACTCACGCACTATGACGGTGTTGTAGATCAACAACAATGTTGTTTGAGAACAAAAATGTTGTTTGAGAGCAAAAATGTAGTTTGAGTTGTTGCAAAACAGCAATGTTTATTTTTCATTTTGTGGCTCTTTAAAAGACTTGCACCCAGAGAAGCATCTTGCACTGCACAAAAACTAGCCCTTGTTGTGTGGAGTTGTTCCGTGCGACACAAACATCCCCCATGACGCCTCACCTGGCACGTTATTCGTGACAAACTAGCTGGATAGACCGTGAGAGAGGTTCGCGCGTCGTGAGCTCCACCGCCGACTCGGGAATATGCGCGAAACTTGCAGCGTAAGACGCGCGGGGGCACCCGGCAACACAGTTACACTTCGTGTTATCAAACACGACCGGGCCCACGGCAGCAGCAGCAGCAGTAACGGCGGCACTAGCGCACCATCGCCACCAATGTGGTGCACAAGTCCGGGGGAAACTCTGCTCCGTTTAACAGTGCAGAACCCCGTCCTCTCGACCGTAATGATTTTTGGAAAATTGCCAGAGGTGCTAATAATCATTTGAGTGATGTGTGTCGCGCGGAAAGTTTCCCTCAAAGCGAAACACCGGGAGTTTCCAACCGAGGAAGTTTGAATTGCGAGTGGGGCTTTGGCGAGAGCTTTGCCGACGTCAGCTTACGGGCGAAAGTCATCATCGAATTAACAGTGCGAGCCGAGAACGATTGCAATAAGAGAACGAGTGTTCAAGAGCGAGATAGATTAATAGGGAGAGAGGAGAGAGGGGGGAGAGAGAGAGAGAGAGAGAGAGAGAGAGAGAGAGAGAGAGAGAGAG